AATTGACTGGGCCCAGGTGGCTCCAGAGGGCAGGTTGTGGCCACGGAGCCGGACAGCGTAAATTCAAACCCCAGCCTGGACAGGGAGCTGAAAATGAAACGCGGGCCTGTCATGCCAGCCTGTCTCGGGGGAAATGTAATCAGGGTCCAACAGGCTACTCAGAAGGTGTTCAAAGTGCTCCTGGCTCTAGGAGGGGAGTAGGGCCTAGTGGCTAGAGCAAGGTGGGGCTGGGAGCCAGGACTCCTGGGTTCTATTCCCGATTCTGAGAGGGGAGTGGGGTCTAGTGGTTAGAGTGGGGGGGCTGGGAGCCAGGACTCCTAGGTTCTGTCCAGGCAGGGGGTTGTGGGTAAGGCACAGGATGTGTGTGGTTGTGGTTGTTGTTACCATCCCTGTGCTGACACCATCTCCTAACCCCCCAGTGTGTCCCCGACCCCTGGAGGGGGGAGGCCTTCGGCGGACCAGCTGGATCTGAGGGCAGAGAGCAATCAAGGTCGGCATCCCGAGTGGCCAGGCTGCCTCCTCCCCAGGGGAGCAGGAAGGATCAGCCCCCCTTTGGTGACTGGGGGACCCCACTAAGCGCTGGGGCGGGAGCACTGGCAGGAGATGGCTCCTCCCCCTCCCAGCCCTAGAGAAGTGGCCTCCCCCCATAATGATCATTGACAGCAGCAAGACCCTGGAGTGGGCTGCAGTTCAGCGCTGGGCGAGTCATCCCCATACAGTGTTATGTGCGGCTGTTACCCAGCTGCCCCACCCCAGAGCAGGCTGCATCTCAGTGCCAGCCGAGCCATCCCCATGCTTGGCTCATCATGGGTTTAGTTATTGGGGGTCAGACTTAGCCAGGTCTCATGCCCACGCCCCCACCCAGCCATGGCGTTACTAGTGCTTCCCCCTAGTGTTAGCTGTGAGTGTTTCGCACCTGGGCCCGACCCACGCTGTGTGGCCCATGGAGATACTGCAGCCCACGTGTCTCCGGACAGCGCTGGGGCGGGGGAGCAGTTTGTGGGGGCCCCTGGAGTGCTGCAGGAGCCAGTGAGGGTCCTGGGCACAGCTGGGCCAGCACCACAATTAACACGCGGCAGAGCGTCCAGCCTTTCCCCCAGCAGAGTTTGTTCCAAATAGGAATGACAAAGTGGCGGGGGGGCGGGGGGGGGGGAGATTTCCCAGGGTTAGAATCCTTCGGTCGCAGCTTTAACGCAGCGGTCCGGTGGCAGGGGACCTTTACTGGCTAACTGGGAAACTCTCCAGGAAAAAATGCGATTTTGTGGACGCTGCATTTTCCACTGGAAAATCACTGCCAGGGGAAATTCCTGACTAGCTCTAGCGCTGGGACCCCTAACGATGGGCAGCCTTCGTTCTCTCCCAGCCCTGGGCTCCCCCACCCCCACCTCTGCTGGTGCCCCTCACTTCCAACCCACAGCCCCCTGCTAGCCCAGCCCTGGGCTCCCCCAACCCCAGCCCTGCAGTGCCCCTTACTCCCAACCCCCAACCCCCTGCTAGCCCAGCCCTGCCCCCACAAGCTCTGCCAGTGCCCCTCACTCCTACCCAAAGCTCCCTGCCATCCCAGCCCTGCCCCTCACAGCTCTGTCAGTGCCCCTCACTTCCAATCTGCAGCCCCTGCTAGCCCAGCCCAGGGCTCCCTTCCAGCTCTGCCAGTGCCCCTCACTCCCAACCTGTAGCCCCCTACTAGCCCAGCCCTGGGCTCCCCACAGCTCTGCCGGGGCCCCTCACTCCTGACCCGCAGCCCCTACTGTCCCAATTGGATGGGATCTCAATCAGGGACTTTGTCTTAAGTGTCCCTTTCCCATGCCAACCTAAGGGCCCTCTCCTGCTGTTCTCCAGGTGATGGTGCCAGCTTCTAGCTGGAAGAGGGGAAAACAAGCCTTGACAAGGGCAGGAATTCAAAGCACCAATTCGCTGACTTTGTTCAGGCTTCTCTGATGGAAAAAAACCTTCTCTTGCTGCTGCTGCAGTGACTCAAACCTGCCAACTGCAAACTTCCAAAGCCAGGCTTGCCACAGCTTCCTGCCTAGCCGGCCTGCTCCTTTTCAAACCTGGCCCCCACCCCCCTGAGGTCACACATCTGCGCCAGGCCGGGGCTGGACTTGGCAGAAACAGCTGCAGACAATCTGGAAAACAGGCTCACCAGATTGTGTTTCAGGGGAATCCCCTGTTTCTTGGCTAACAGCCTCTTGCTCGTCGTCAGCAGGCTCCAGATTTACCTCTGCTTCCAGACCCAGGAACGCCGTAGACACGGTAGCAGCTTGGGCTCTCCCCTTGTGGCAGGTCCCTTCGGGAGATGGTCTCCAAAACCGACATCCTCTGAACTCTAAATCCATGGATCCCACATATAGCTCCATCACCCCCACTATGGTCTGACCTCTCACTTCTCCTCCAAGCTCCCTCATTTCCCAGGTCGGGGACAAACCACTGCAGGGCTCTGTGAATATGTATCCAGACCAAGGATGGGTCCGCGGAATGGCGCTGCACCCTGAGATTGCCCTGACTCGGTTGAGGAAGGCAGCAGGCCCATCCCTGGTATCAAAAAGAGTAACACTGAGCTTGTGACGCTCTGTACCTCGGGGGAACAGCCAGCACCCACATGTTCATCCTTGTAAAATGATTGTGTGGTATCCAATGTAAAGTGTGTTATGTCGGGTGTCTTCAGAAGGCTCATGATGTACTGAGCATTGTTGTTATAGCGATATTATAGTAATGTTATAGGTGATAACTTCATGTATCTAGTTATAAGGCTGAAAATATATCCTCATGACTGAAAGCAAGCCCAGAAAAAAACTCTCCAAGAGCAGAGAGGCAGTTCACACCTCATCAGGGCGTGGATGCGACAAACCCAGCCCAGCCTCACAGGAACAAAGGACGCTGGCCTAGACAGCAACAAAAGAATCTGTTAGTCTCTTGAGGGAGTCACACCCCCTTCCTTTGGTCAGTCTGGAACTGCAATGAGGTAATGCTCACCTGACTCTGAAAGGGAGGGGGGCAAAGCCAAGAGGGAAGAAAGAACATGATAAAAGGGAGAGACATTTGCCATGCTCTTCCTTTCTCTTCCACCTACATCTACAGACACCACACCAAGCGACTGAAGAGCCGATCAAAGGGGAGAGCCTGGCTGAAGAGCAACCAGCCAGCCTGTGGTGAGAAGCATCTAAGTTTGTAAGGGCATTGAAAGTGTTAGGATCAGCTTAGAATGTGTTTTGCTTTTATTTCATTTGACCAAATCCAACTTGTTATGCTTTGACTTATAATCACTTAAAATCTATCTTTATAGTTAATAAATCTGTTTGTTTATTCTACCTGAAGCAGTGCGTTTGGTTTGAAGCATGTCAGAGACTCTCCTTGGGATAACAAGCCTGGTACATATCAATTTCTTTGTTAAATTGACAAACTCATATAAGCTTGCAGTGTCCAGGGGGCATAACTGGACACTGCAAGACGGAGGTTCCTAGTGTTGTGTCTGAAAGCAGAGATATTGGCTAGTGTCATTCAGTTGCACAATCCAAGGAGCAACTTACATGCCAAAGGCTGTGTGTGAACAGCCCAGGAGTGGGGGTTCTCACAGCAGAGCAGGGTAAGGCTGGCTCCCAGAGTCAAGGACTGGAGTGACCTAGCAGATCACTGGTCCGGATAACACCAGATGGGAACGTCACAGAGCAATACAATGTGGAACAGCTCCAACAGGAGAGATTGCCAGAGCCCCACCTCATGCTAGCCCGGCGCGTAGGTGGCCCAGCCGGGACAGTGCAGACCTGCTGTCCTAGATCAGGCAGAGCAGTGATTTGAATTGCCGTTTCTTGCCTCCCACGGGAGTGCCCCGACTGGGATGGTGCATGACTGGCTCTTTCTCACAACAATTTTGGAAGGATTTTTAGGGGAATTCCAAAATCACAAAAGTTTTCACGGGATGGAAGGTGGAGTCCCACCTGGCCCTACGTCCAACACAAAAGCCACGCAGGAGGACCGAGCAATAAGCAAAGATCTGCTCGTCGGAGCTGGGGCTCTGAATCTCCTCCCCTGCATGAGCTGAAGGAGCAATCTCTGCTTCTTCTCAAAGTTCCAACTTTCCGGTGGAGCCAATGCCCAGACCATCTGTGGGAATAGCTGGTTAGCAGACCTGGCGCTCACGCAGACGGAGCATTGTCTGGGAGGGTTGTAGGACTCATTAAACCTTTTGTTGGGTGCTACAAAAGGCTTCCACTCTGCAGCTCTCAAACTGGTGGGTTGATGGGTCCTTTGTGCAGAGTTTGATTCTATTCTGTTAAAGCTCTTCTACCATCCTCAGGATTGTGGCCCGGAGTGCTAACATCTGCCAGTTAATGGGCTAACATCTGCCGGTTAATGGGCTAACATCTGCCGGTTAATGCACTGACATCTGGGGTTTCATGCAATAATCTCTGGGGCTTTAATTCACTAACATCTGGAGCTTGAAATGCACTAACACCTGGGGTTTAACGCGCTACCATCTGGCCTTTGCTACTGAGGAACTGGGCGTCCATGAAGGGCTCAGATTCCTGATGGAGGAGTTTGCCCTCTTGCACTTTCTGACCACCTCTGGCCCAGGCCTGGTGCGTGCCATGTCCCTGAGCCAGCTGCACTAAGGAAATCCCCCCGCCCCCCCGCCCAGCTCCCCACCGCTGGCTTCCCCTCTGCCGGGAAGCTGACAGGCACGATCTGCTGCTGCGGTTCATTCCTCCACACGCAGAGCTAAGCCCAGGCACCGGGCGGATGCTGTTACGACACATCCCCAACCCATCTGCCCAGCAACGTCTGATGCCAGCCCCACCCCACCCCCCGTCCCCTCACTGGCAGGGAGGGGCTGGACGGGTGGATCCGCGTCGGTTTGTGGGCCTGGGTTTCCTCGCAGGTGTTTCCTATCAGAGCGGCAGAGACCTCGGTGCAGGCAGGGGGCGGCCCTGGTCTCTCCAGCCCTGGGGGTCCCAGCCCCACCCCGCACCCCGCAGATCTGCCGTCCCATCCCCTGTTCCCTGATGGCTCCTGGGGGGGTCCATCCCGCTCTGGTCTCCACCTGGCTCTTGTTTCTCTGCTCGGTCGTCTCAGCTGGTAAGTGACCCCTGTTCGCCCCCCGGATGCCTGGGTCCCATCCCCATCCCAATCACTGTCCCCCAGGACTGGGTGCCGCAGGGCCCCCTCGGGTGTCTGCCCCAGATGCCTGGGTCCCATCCCCATCTCAATCACTCTCCCCCAGAACCGGGTGCTGCAGGGCCCCCTCGGGTGGCTGCCTGGATGCCTGGGTCCCATCCCCATCCTGGTCTCTCTCTCCTTCCCGTAGGGGTTCACCGTTTCACCCACTCCCAGATTATTTCACCGCAGGCAGCCCCTGGGCTGCCCAAGCGCCAGAGCTTGCTGCAGGTGAACGGCCTGGCGCTCTCGGCCTATGACAGCAGCAGCCGGAGGATGATGCCGCGCAACGGCTACATGCAGGGCGACCGGGAGACCCACCAGTTCTGGAGCGTCAGCAGCGCCCGGTGCATGTTCTGGGACCCCTGGGTGGAGACCGAGTACCAGGCCCTGGTGCGGGCGGTGAACGCCAGCTCCCCAAAGGCCGGTGAGTCCTTGGGCCCCGGCACTCCATTAGCTCGGCCCAGGAAAGGGGGCACGGGCAGTGGGAGGGAGCTAGGGGCAGGACACCAGAGGGGAGTGATTTCCGTGGTACCTAGTGGTTAAAGTGGGGTGCAGGGGAGCTGGGAGCTCTATCCCCAGCTCTGGAAGGGAAGTGGGGTCTCATGGTTAGAGTGGGGGGGGGGCTGGGAGCCAGGACTCCTGGGTTCTCTACGCAGCCCTGGGAGGGGAGTGGGGTCTAGTGGTTAGAGAAAGGGGGAAGCTGGGAGCCAGGACTCCTGGGTTCTCTCCCCAGCTCTGGGAAGGGAGTGGGGGCTAGTGGTTAGAGTGGGGGCGGGGCTGGGAGCCAGGACTCCTGGGTTCCATCCCTGGGAGAACTTCGCCCCCACTCTGCCCCCTGGCGGCAGCTCCCTGCTGAGTCACTCATGTGGCCGCTCCGCCCCCAGAGCCCTACTACATGCAGGTCGTGCAGAGCTGTGAGCTGGACGAAGCCAGCGGCGCCGTCCGAGCCGTTACCAGGTACGCCCTGAATGGGGAGGACGTGCTGCAGTACCATGGGGACCAGAACCGCTGGTTCTCAGTGCACCCGGCGGCCTGGCGCGTGGCCGAGCGCTGGAACCGCGAGAGGGAGACGCTGGCCGGGATCAACGCCCATACGCCACAGCAGTGCGGGACCTTCATCCGGATCACCTCGCCATTCACCGCACAGACAACAGGTGGCAGCTCTGCCGGTGCCCCTCACTGCCAACCCACAGCCCCCTGCTAGCCCAGTCCTGCCCCCCATCCCCAGCTCTGCCAGTGCCCCTCACTCCCGACCTGCAGTCCCTTGCTAGCCCAGCCCTGGGCTCCCCCCAGCTCTGCCGGTGCCCCTCACTCCCAATTCACAGCCCCCTGCCAGCCCAGTCCTGCCCCCCATCCCCAGCTCTGCCGGTGCCCCTCACTCCCGATCCACAGCCCCCTGCTAGCCCAGTCCTGCCCCCCATCCCCAGCTCTGCCGGTGCCCCTCACTCCCAACCCGCAGCCCCGTGCTAGCCCAGCCCTGGGCTCCCCCCAGCTCTGCCGGTGCCCCTCACTCCCAATCCGCAGCCCCCGTGATCTTTAACCCTTTCTGTCCCCTCAGCCCAGCCCACAGTGCACGTGTCCCTCGTGCGAGGAACCCGGGGCCAGCCTCACCGCCTCATGTGCCACGTGACGGGGTTCTACCCCCGTGACATTGAGGTGACCTGGGAGCGGGGGGGCAAGGGGGCCCTAGGGGAACAGATGACCAGCAGGATCCGGCCCAACGGGGATCCCACCTTCCAGATCCGAGTGTCCATTGAGCTGGGGCTGGGGGAGCACGTGTGCGTAGTGAGACACGTCAGCCTGGGGGGCGCCCCCCTGAGGATCACCTGGGGTGAGTGCAGGGCGGGGCTGGGGATGGAGTACCCTCTATGGAAGGGAGGGGCAGGGGAGCTGGGGGCAGAAAGGCAGAGGGGCAGTTTTGGGAGGCATGGATAGGCAGTGAGGAGGTTCTGGGGGGCTCTGAGGGGAAGAGGAAGGTGCGGGTTCTGGGGGTTAAGAGGGGGGAAGGGAAGGTGAGAGGTTTTTGGGGATCCAAAGAGGGAGGGGAAAGTGGGAGGTTCTGGAGGGCTCAGAGGGGTAGGGGAAGAGGGAATTTAGCTGCAGGGCAGACTCATGGGGGGCTGGGGCTGGGAGGGGCAGACCGGGTGTGGGTCTGCTGGCCCAGGGCCAAGGGGCGGGGGGGAATAGGTGCAGAGGCAGGCAGGGCCCATGGCTCAGTCTGTCTCTGCTCATTTGCAGATCCCCAGGCCACAGGCCAGGCCGGGTCCCTGGGCGTCCTCGCCAGCTGCGTGCTGGCTGCTCTGGGAGTCGCCGCCCTGGGCTGGTATCTGAGGGGGAGGCCAGGTGAGTGATGCCCCCTAGGGTCCCCCAGCCCTCCCTGCAGCTCAGCGCCCCCAGTGCCCCTGCAGCACAGCGCCCCCTAGTGCCCCCCAGCACCCCCTAGTGCCCCCAGCACCCCCTGCAGCACAGC